TACCTCTGGGAACCTTTCGTTTTATTCTCTTAACTATCCTGGGAACCAGTCACAGGGGCCACCACTGACTAGCTTGGTCATTTCCCACCCAACTATGCTGCCTAGAGTCACAACACCTGCCCAGTCCATGTCTCCAGGTCTACACATGCTGTAGCAGCATGTCAGCACTTCCATCTGACAGATGTACACCATCATCCCTTCTCGCTGATTGTAAAGGATGTCCTTATGCTGTATCACTTAACACTCTTTCTCCAGGAATATCTTGGTACCCCCTTATTTACTTTCTTTCTAGCGTTGTCTACATGGGTTGGGTCTGCTCCCAATCCTGACCGGCCTATCAGTGAGTGCAGAAGAGGCATGAGCTGATCCCACTGCATGCCTCTTCTGAATGCAAACAGCTTTGGCCCTGAAGCCCACTGAGATCTAGCTGCCATCCTGAGTGACCTCTTGTGCACCCAGTTCACTACAGGGTGCTCACAAATCTAAATGTGCACAGTCTGGGTAGCTGCTGAAACAAACACAAACATTAAGTTAATTACATTTTGCCGTTCCCTGCCGTCTTTTCATTGTGTAAAACTTGATTTCCAGCGCCCTATTGCTTGCACCTGCCACAGGCCAAAACCTTTTGCAGCTGCTAATGTTGCTGCCCTCATCCTGGAAGAATGAGTACCAAATTTACCCGCAGTACCGCAAATCTTTTCTCAGTACTGCGCTTACTTGATGCCTTGTCAGGAAGCTGCCATCACCATGTATAAATAGCGAGCCTAGCTGCAGGCCCTGAATTTTTAGTGACGCTTTTATCGCCTTTACAGGGCACAAACGCTTTTCTGCACATTTCTTCGATGCCACATTAGCCCCTCTCCCCTTCTGGCCTATTAGGTAGTACCTTAAACACAGAAACACCAGTCCTTGCAGATAGCTGTATGTCAGTTACATTTAATGCACGCTGGGACCTGTCTGCAGCTGTTTTAGGCACCAGTTCACCCGCTCTCAAAGTGCCAGAGAAGGCAACAACAAATGCCACCTTAAATAACATGGTCTCCCTCTGAGCTGCAGCCCCAGACAGAGCCTTTGACAGCTCTGTCAGGGTTTCCAATATTATGAGTAACCTGTCCTCCCTCTGATGCACTAGCCAACCAGAGATAATGGAGGGAGCCCACCTGTGGTGGGTCACAGGCACCACATATTGTGCCATCTGGTGTGTGGGTATGGGCCACCCACAGTGCAGTCCTTCCGGTACCCTAAATTCCATGGACTCTGAAAGGCTTATAGACCCTGAGAGTCCACAGTACAACCGAGTCTTCGACTAGCCTCGCAGCTGTCATGAGCCAAGGTCCCGGAATTGTTGGAGCATTGCCCGTGGATCCCTGCTGGCCAGTGGCAAGTTTCCGAAATCTGTCGTCCTGAAATTGACAGAGGATTGGCAACACCATTATCCATTTCCAGAACATGCACTGCATAAAAAAGGATGTTAAACTGCAGACAGTGTAAAATGAAGGCTCTCACCAGCCTTGTTACCCAAGCAGTCTTTGCCAACAGTCTATTTATAATATGGATCCTGGCCACGCCAGAAATCGGACTTTCTTGTTCTGAATGTTTTCTCCCCTATTGACTGCCACCAGGGTAGGAAAAATCTCAAGGAAGGTGATGTCCCTTGTAATACCCTGAGCCATCCGGCTTTCTGGCCCCCTTTGTGCACACCACTCACCTTGAAAGTAAAGTAAACCCCAAAACCGATACCTCCCAAGGTAGATTATACCTACAGTTCAGTCCTGAGCAACCAGCCCCAATGCCATATTGAAACCTCCATTTAACTCATCCAGGAATCTTTCCCACTCTTCTAAGTCTTCCTTCATTTCCCTTGTCATTCTGGTAAAGTGATGGGGTTTACATGCTCCAGAGAAAGCAGATGCTAGATGAGCACAAAATGCCCGATGGGGAGGATCACCCTCAGGCAAGTTTAGGTGCCCTATGACCACTTATAGTTCCTTCAGAATAATTTTCTTTGTCCCTTTCAGAGCCCATATCCGTGCCCTGACCAATTCCAACTTCTCTGTAGATAACCTAGAAACCAATGAACTGAGTCCAGTTCACAGTGCCCAGGTATGTTAAACTTTGGGCAGGGCTTTCTGTTTTTTCTGTGGTGAGGGGGGCCCTGAAGCATTCGACTACATTCTGAAATGCCTGAAGCACATACTGACCTGTCCCTAATCTTCCTGCACTTGAGAAGATGTTGAGATTGTGTATGAGACTGGCCTGTTTCACACAGTGCCTATCACCCACTCCAAAATAGAGCTCTATCATTTGAAAGTGGCACATGACACTGAGTGCCCCATGGGTGTGGCTTTATCAAAATAGTAGTAGCCTTCACACTGAAATCAAAGCAAGTTGAAGTCCCTTGGATGCATTGGAAGCAATCAGAATGCAGATTTGATGTCACATTTTGGCAACATTGCCCCAGGGCAACACTCCGTAACCATGCTACTGCAGCATCAAATGACAAGTATCTGACTGAACACAGGTAGGGGTCAATATAATCATTTTACCAATGAGCACTGGGGGTAGGACAGGTGATGGATAAGCCTGTATTCCCCCTTCGCCTTCTTCAGTACCACACTCAGGGAAGAGGAGCAGTTCTGGCACTAGACTATATGGGAAGGGACCTGCCACTTTCACTGCTGCCACCTCCAAGGTGATCTCTGCCCTATCTATATGCTCAAAGCCTTTAGTGGACTTCAAGTTGTCTATCCAAGAGTGGCACCTCACTCTCTCATATGGGATTTGATAATCAGCTGAAAATCCGTTCCATAAATAAGCTATGTCTTTTTTTCCCCCAGGATAGTTCAATAACAAATTCCATAGCCCTGTATCTTAATTGAGAAGGAGCCTGTTCCATTATTACTACCTCTCCCTGTAGTAATTCCTGAAGTACTGGGACCTGGAAAACCCCTTTCCTACAACCTTGTTGGAACTGCCCTTTACCCCCGAAACAGGAGAGTGTGCTGTGCCTACAGCAGTGTTTGTACCTGCCTGGGGTATGAAAACATTTCCCGTCATTAATGCAAAGTACACATTGGCTTTTATACCCATATTTTGAAAATGAGGTTTTGGCACTAACAACTCGCTGTCTGTGAATGCCAGCTAGGCAGGGTGATAAGGAATCATACCTCCAGCCAAAAGTGCCTGGTCTGTTTTACCCCAGGGTAAATCAGGCTCCTCTGCCACCCTCTGTCTAAATTCTCTGTCATACCTTAATCATGCTACCCCACCACATGTAGCATAAGCCATCGCTATTAACTCCTCAGACTTGAAGAAGGAGAGACACCTCTTGGGGATCCCCACACAAATTATACTCACATAAATGTGGAAGGCTGCCAACTAGTTCAAGAGTTTGTCACCTTAGGTCTGCAGAGTTTGTCCTCACCTTTTTTTTCATATGTTATTTGCCCCCTCCTCTGTCTGCTCTCCCCTGAACAGCAAGGTAAATAAATTCACAAATTCCCTTTCCAACCTTTTCTTTAAGCCCTTTAGACAGATGATTCCCAAGTAGGTGACTGGATCCCACATAACCTGTAGGGCTTTAGCTGCTGTGTCACCTGCCTATGTTTCATTAGGAATAATGCTACCTGATGCAGGGGGCAGCTCCCTAGTTGCTCGGTTTCCTTTGTGGGATATTATGCTCCCCTCCTCCAAACTTGTGAGTGTCACCTCCTCCTCTGAGAGTGGCCCACACTTGTCAGGCAGGCTGCCCAACCTATGGGCCACTAATGCCAGTGATTTTACTGGTCACCCCATATCCATTGGAGTGGGTGTCCAAGGGAGGAGGGACCAGAGCTATCACCCTTGCCCCGAGTTCCAAGATTCACAGTCCTCCCCATCAGTATCCATGAGCCTCTGGGGACCCACTACCACATCCTAAGGATGCCTGTTGGACTTTCGGCAGGTTATGGGAGTGAGGCACTGGCTCACTCACCCACGCTGCGTCATCCTTGTCCATTTCAGTGAGACTTGGACCCTCACTTTCTGCAAACACAGAGCCTGAATCTGTGACCTAGACCTCCTATATGAGGGTTCAGGACCTCATTTGGGAGGAATGCATTCCTCTGACTCACCACCATCTGCAAAGTGAACTGTCCCTGCTGAGGTCCTGACTCCTGCCCAGCTGCTCTCCTCCTCTTGTGACTCTTCTGTCAAGTCATTGATCCTCACTTGATCTCCCTTCCTGTGAAGACTGAGCACATCCTTCCTCCACGGGAGCTGCACTCCCAAGCCCACTATTCCCCAGCAAAGCTTCTGGAACAGTTGGCACCTGTGCTGGGCTAAATCCTGGGAGCTGGGGAATGCTGGCCAGTCAGCACCTATCTCCCCCAGCTGGCCAATGGGTGCCAGAAACTCCCAGGGGGAGGAAATACCTATTGTCCCTTGGCGAGTGCCTCCCTAGGACTGCCCCTTTCACAACTGGCCCCATCAAGTTCCCGCACCCGTTGATGCAGGTGGATGGCATTTTGTAGAGCATGGCTGGGAGACAACGGCTGTGCAAAGGAAGGAAAATAATTATTTATCATGTTACAAGGAATATGAATCAGGGGGAACGGGATGAAACTAAGAGGGCGAAAATTTAGGCTGAATATCAGGCAAAACTTCCAGACAGTGACACTTATAGTACTGTATATAAAGGCTTGATCTTTTGCTGTTACCTTCAGTGAGAGCTGGAGAAAGTCCTAAGACTGTAGAATATTCTCTGAAGGGAAGCAGCGGAAAATCCCATCATTAGAGATGTGTAAATCTAGACTAAGAATTCACTAAATATATAATACATCAACAATCCTGCATAGGCTGGGGAAAGGACTAGATGGCCTAGTTAATCTTTTTCCAATATCTTTAATTCTGTGTGTGTGAATTGGTCATACTTTGTTTTATTTATTTTTTTACATGTTTTTGTGATGTGTTCTGGAAGTGTTCAGGTGCTGGATTTTAATGAATGTTTCTTTGTTTTTCAGCAGTATCTCTCATTAACCTCTGCAGTCCCTGAATTCCTAAAGCCTGCCCCCACCACTGAGCAGCACACTACACACTCTACAACTACTACTACCACTCTGACCACAAATACTCTATCTGCAGCAAAGCCTGGGCCAACTCTGGTAAAGGTAGGTTATAATGAAGGCATTTGATGTCTTTGCTTTAAATCTGCTCTCTCGAATCCTGTATATAATGAAATTGAATATATCATAGTGTTATAGTGCTTTGATCTATGTATATAAAATATCCTGCAGTGTTCAGTTGAATATACAGTGAAGTCAACTGAAAACTGGCATACTGTGTTAGATTTGCCATTCATAATTTGCAGGCTCTGCAAAATGCTTACGAGCCATCCATATATTGTAGTTGTAGATAGACCTGGCAAAATTCTGCACACTGAATCATGTAGTAGGATTCATACTACGGTTGAAGTACAAAAGAAAATGCAAAACTGAGACAAAGACTGCAAGTACTTGCCAAATTGCCTTGATACTTTGTATTTTTTATTGGTGAAATTCATCCCTCCCAACACAGAGTCCAGCTATTCTGGCTTTGCGTGGGGGACTAAATGGGAACAAGGAAATTGCATTCACACCCCGACCCACAAACAGGCCATAGGGCTGCAGTGCATTCTCTCCCCAGCTATTTTCGAAGCCTGTGGACTGGATTGTGCCGCCATGCTGCCTTGTCGGTGGTTTTAGATCACCAGATCCTCATAAGTGAGAATCCTATAGGCCCGTTCATAGTAGCCCCTTCTGCACTAATGTATTTGGAGCTAGCATGGAACTTTTGCACAAATTTAGATGTCCCTGTGTGTAAAGGTCTACAGTTCTCCCCTCTTGGAGCCTCTGAAGGTGTTGTGGAAGGCATTATAGACACCCTACACATCAGGATGAACTTCACTGTCATATACTTTTATAAGGGATGTGCTGTGTTGTTGTATTATACTGGTATACATTTGGAGGATATTCACTGAAATTCATTCACCAACTCACTTATAATGCAAAACCTTAACAACTTCAAACACCCCAAAATGCATAATTGTCAGGAATCAGGGCCAGTAGCAGAGCCAGTCTCCGGGCAACCTAGCTGAGTGCAGCCAGCCTGTAGTAGGGTGCCTGCTTGGCTACACTGCCTGATTGGTTGGAAGAGTCCACAGACTGGCTCTTAAGCCTAGTAGTAGCAGCAGTTCAGCAGCCACTCAAAGCATTTTCCCATGGCTGCAATAGGTCCAGTGCCTACTTGTTTCCAGCCAAGTTCCCACTTTTGTCTCCAGACTTGCCTCGCTCCAGGTAACCTGGTCCTGACACTTGGCTCCAGTTACTGACTTTGGTTTTGAACCTTTTCTCTGGTGTATGGCCTCTGACACTGGTTCTGACCCTTGGTTCCGATTCCTGACTACCGACTCCTGCTCTAACCACTAGGCCCAACTCCTGGATCTGTTCTAACCATTGGGGACGACTGTCCACATCCTGGTCACTGATCATTAGTGCACATATGTCAACACAGAATTTCCCCTTTCAGAATTTTTGTGCTGTATATCTGTCTCCAGTTTTTCACTGGAAATAGCTTCCAAGAGTTCACTTAAAGAGTGCCCTGTCCAAAAGGAAGTTTTTTATTGGGGGCACAAGGACCCTCCAGTGAGGGTATAGCTGAAACAATCTGTATGTAAACCCTACTTTTGGGATTCATAGACTTGCATGCGTTCATGTTCTCATTTGTTTCTTAGTTAGTGTTCAGGCTTGAAATACAGAAAATAAACCTATTTTAAGAAGTATGAATCCAACTGCAAATAATTAAAGATGTTCAGAAATCCATCTCCTAAATTTAAATGAAAGGGGAACAGTTAGTAATATTCCCAAGTCATGTGCTCTTTGGAGCAGTCCTCCAAACCAGGCACTGATAATTACTGATTCTTTTGAACACTTTGTATACTGCACACTCCCAATTGCATCTCAACCCTGCTTGGAGACTTGGAATTTGTTTTAGTTCTCTCCTCAGAGATGAGCTTCCTTGAGGTAAAAAGAAAAATTATATCCCAGGATATCTGTGGATATGTTTTATTCCAGAATCACATTTTGCATACTGTTATGAGGAAGAAATATCAGCAAATACCCGCCTCAGCCAGGTTTGGTGTGCTGCCAACTGGATCAGTAATCTCCAAAGGAATGAAGATTAGGGCATCCCTTGCCAGCTGAGATAAAGTCATTTTATGAGGCATTTCCGTAGGATAATTGAGAAACAGCATTTCAATCAGTGGTGACAACTGTAAGTTTAGTTTGTAGTTATACTAACTAAGCACCTTAGAAACACAGTTTATATATATATATATATATAAGGTCTGTCAATTAATCATAAGAACGGCCATACTGGGTCAGACCAAAAGTCCATCTCGCCCAGTATCCTGTCTACTGACAGTGGCCAATGCCAGGTGCCCCAGAGGGAGTGAACCCAACAGGCAATGATCAAGTGATCTCTCTTCTGCCATCCATCTCCACCCTCCAACAAACGGAGGCTAGGGGCACCCTTCCTTACCCATCCTGGCTAATATCCATTAACAGACTTAACCTCCATGAATCTATCCAGTTCTCTTTTAAACGCTGTTATAGTCCTAGCCTTCACAGCCTCCTCAGGCAAGGAGTTCCACAAGATGACTGTGCATTGTGTGAACGTCTTCAGAGAACCATTGGGAGAATCACAGTTAACTCATGCGATTAACTCAAAAAAATTAATCGCAATTAAAAAAAATTAATCACAATTAATCGCAGTTTTAATTGCACTGTTAAACAATAGAATACCAATTGACATGTATTAAATATTTTAGATGTTTTTCTACATTTTCATATATATTGTAGTCTGTGTTGTAATTGAAATCAAAGTGTATATTATTTTATTACAAATATTTTCACTAAAAACGATAAACAAAAAGAAATAGTATTTTTCAGTTCACCTCATTCAAGTACTGTAGTGCAATCTCTGTCATGAAAGTGCAACTTACAAATGTAGATTTTGTTTTAAATTACATAACTGCACTTAAAAACAAAACAATGTAAAACTTCAGAGCCTACAAGTCCACTCCGTCCTACTTCTTGTTCAGTCAATCGCTAAGACAAACAAGTTTGTTTACATGTACAAGAGATAATGCTGCCCTCCTTATTTACAATGGTACCAGAAAGTGAGAACAGGCATTTGCATGGCACTGTTGTAGCTGGCATTGCTACAGGTATTTACGTGCCAGATATGCTAAAAATTCATATGCCCCTTCATGCTTCGGCCACCATTCCAGAGGACATGCTTCCATGCTGATGATGCTTGTTAAAAAAAAAAAAAGCGTTAATTAAATTTCTGACTGAACTCCTTGGGGGAGAATTGTATGTCCCCTGCTGTTTTACTCACATTCTGCCATATATTTCATGTTATAGCAGTCTCAGATGATGACCTAGTACATGTTGTTCATTTTAAGAACACTTTCACTGCAGATTTCACAGAACACAAAGAAGGTACCAATGTGAGATTTCTAAAGATAGCTACAGCACTTGACCCAAGGTTTAAGAATCTGAAGGTGTGGATCATGCTTTCTGAACTCTTAAAAGAGCAACGCTCCGATGCGGAAACTATAGAACCCAAACCACCAAAAAAGAAAATCAGTCTTCTGCTGGTGGCATCTGACTCAGAAAATTAAAATGAACATGCGTCGGTCTACACTGCTTTGGATTGTTATCAAGCAGAACCCGTCATCAGCATGGACGAATGTCCCCTGGAATGGTGGTTGAAGAATGAAGGGACATACGAATCTTTTGCGCATCTGGCACATAAATATCTTGTTACCCCGTTTACAACAGTGCCATGCAAATGCCTGTTCTCACTTTCAGGTGACATTGTAAACAAGAAGCGAGCAGCGTTGTCTCCTGCAAATGTAAACGTACTTGTTTGTCTGAGCGATTGGCTGAACAAGAAGTAGGACTGGTGGATTTGCAGGCTCTACAATTGTTTTATTTTTGAATGCAGTTTTTTGTACATAATTTTACATGTACTATGCAGAAGAAAAATTCTGCTTTTAAACATCTTAATTTAAATGAATCAAGCACAGAAAATTTCTTTACCTTAGCAAATATTTTTTTAATTTTCCCTTTATTTTTTTAGAAGTTTACATTTAACACAGTACTGTGCTGTACTGTGCAGTACTGTAGTGTGCTGTACAGTATTTGGGGTTCTTTTTGGTCTCTGCTGCCTGATTGAATGCTTCCGGTTCCAAATGAGGTGTGTGGTTAACTGGTCAGTTCGTACCTCTGAGGTTCTATTGTATTTTCAATTCCAAATGGCCACAAGCTGAGCTGATTACTCTAATGGACAACAGTATTTCTTGCCATCTCATTTTTCATAACTGACATGTTCCTTTATGCCTCAACTTCATTTTTCATCCAATTGCTTTGTAAAGATGTCTGTGTAATAGCTGTCTTATTTTATAATTTTGTCTAACTTTGTCTCTAAACAGCAAAGTCACCCGAAGAACCCAACTGACAAGCATCGGAGCAAGAAATGTAAAGAACCTAAGCCTAGGGTGAAGAAGTTGAAGTATCATCAATATATCCCACCTGATCAGAAAGGTGAGAAGAACGAGCCACAGATGGACTCCAATTACGCTCGTTTACTACAGCAACAGCAGCTTTTTTTGCAGCTGCAGATCCTGAGCCAACAGCAACAACACTACAACTACCAGACCATTCTACCTGCACCGCTCAAGTATGTGAAACTTTGTCCGTTTTTTTCCTTTAAAGGGATCGATTTGCTTTTTTCTTAAATAAGGAAAAAATATACAGCAAATGTAGAATTTGTATTTTAAAGTTAAATTATGCATGTTAGGCACCAACCCTGTATTAGGGGATGGTGACTCATCATGATTTGAGGTGGTTCTATGTAAAGGTAGGTCAGTGCACATACCCTCTATACTACCTATTCCTCAGTCTCCAATTCTCTGCATCTCTTAGCAGCATACATAGTGATGAGACTATAGTTTTGATTTATTGAAGGGACAGTAAAGTCTGATAAACCTATAATTGGACCTACTGGCTTAATTTTGCTCTGTGGACATTGCAAGCACAGCAGCCCCTTTATTTGTCTGCTATATTTTTCTAATCAAACATGTTATTTACATTCACAAGAATCGTGATCTCTTATGAATGCTTGTAACTTTCAACACCCTGCCTGTACACATGTTATGACACAAGCAGGCAGATCAGAGACAGAACACGACCTCTATGCACATTTTGCTATTGCTATCACAGTGTTTTTGTTGCTGTTTGGGGCATTTTGGAGGGGCTGAGAGACTTTTGGATAAGAAGGAATGTTGGGCTTTGTAAGCTGCGATAGGGAGGTTAAAATTTGGGCCTAAAATCCTGTCTAGGTACTTTTTACACTCCTCCCTTTCTCCCCTCACCATAGTATATGAGTGACTCACAAACATCATTAATCCCCAATATGCCCATGAGGGAGAGAATCTAATTTACAGCAATGTAGCATTCTGTTTCCAGCCTTTCTTAACAACTGATAGTAAATAACTAAAAAGTATAATCTGAGAGTAACAAATGACATTTGTATAATTGCCATGTATCCTATCTTTGGAAGCAGTGATGTGCTCTGTGATATCAGCTGCTCATTCTGTTACATGTAGAGACATCACAAAAATATTTTTATCTTGAATCAAATTGAACAAAGAAAGTGCAGGGAATTTTAATTAAAATCCATTTTAAACTGATATTAATACAACAAGCTTAGCCCTGTATGCTGTAATAGCAGTTTGTTCTTTGAGTGCTTGCACATGTTCATTCCAATGTAGGGGTGTGCACACCCTGAGCACAGTTGCTGGAATTTTTTCCCTTAGTGCTGGTATCTGTCGGCTTGGCTCTAGTGTCTCTGGTGCCGCACGCTCATAGCGCCGGTATAAGGGGCCTTGCCATGCCCTTTCAGTTCCATCGTACCACCCATGATGGTTGCTGGAACTTCCCTCGTTGCTCAGGTCTGGACATGATCACACAGGACCATGCTGCTCCACCCAAACCTTAGCTCTCTTCATCTGATGGCCTGGAACCTTCATGGCTGAACCCCGAAGAACAAGCTTGCTCAGAGCAGGTTCATAGAGTCCTACTGGGCAGTAGAAAACCCTCCACTAGGGTGATGTACCTGGAAAAGTGGAAATGATTCTCCATCTGGTCTTCCCAGCACGGAGTTCTCACTATGCAGTCCTCATTGCAGCTCATTCTGGAATGCCTTCTGCTTTTAAAGCAGCCAGGCATGGCCTTTTCTTCAGTCAAGGTCCACCTGGTGGCCATTTCAGTCTTTCGTTCTAAGGTTGACAGTAGGTCGGTTTTCTCACATGAAATGGTAATTCATTTACTTGTAATACTAACTGTACGCTACATAAAATACCAATATATTTTCCACAGCAAACTTTTCCTCTGCAAGCAATTCAAGAAGCATCTAAAATATTTAATGAGTCCAGCTGTGTTAATTATGCATCTGAGGAAAAGTCAATTTTCTGCCATTAAGTGGATACATTTTAAATTTAGTACTACTGCTTCTTAAAAGTAAATAACATAACAGCTAGCACTCATATTTTTATGCTTTTTTACTTGCAGACCTCTCAGTGACAAACAAAATAACAACGGGAATATACCACTGACCACTTTGAGCAACAGCACACCTACGCCAGTAGCCTGCACACCAAGACAGAACAGTAATATTCCCAGCAGAAAACCAGGACCTCTTCCTTCAAGCTTGGATGACCTGAAGGTAAACATGAAGAGGGATTTGTCTATGTGCAAATATCAGCAAAGGTTATAACTTGCAAATTGTTACTGACATTTTTATAGAAATGTTTTTGTCATTTTCTTTTACTACCAACCTAGATTTTTTGCTTTTATTTAGTTTTTTCCCCCTCCAGTTTCTAAGAAGCTCCTTTCTTGTCCAGAGCATTTAATAAATTTTATCTAATCCTTACAACACTTCTCTACTTCACATAAGAAAGGAACATAGAATAGATTATTTGCATACTTTATCTGTTCAGTATATGAAGGCTTGCCTGGGAGAATTAAAAAGAGGAAGCTGTTCAGTTGAGGTTCGGAGCAGGGAAACCTTCAACTAGACTTAAAATACAAAGCAAAATGGAACAGGGTTTTCTGTTTGGCATCCCAGCACCAGTCATCTCCTTTAACATTACCAATTTCAGTAATGCTGGACTATTTGCTATCTCTGAAACAATCTGGATTGTCCATCAGTTGTATAAATGTCCATAGAGCAGCAATATCTGCTCATCATTCCCCAATCCAGGACCAACTTTTTTCCCCACCCTATAGTGGCTATATTCTTGAAATACCCCATGCATGTTTTTCCCCCAGTTCAGGAATTTCCTTTGTCTTGGGCCATCTATATAGTATTAGGGTTGATGAGTCCCCCCTTCGAGCCCTTAGTAATCTGATTCCTATACCAGCTGTCAATGAATACTGCCTTGCCTTTCTGGCTTGAAGAGTAGAGCAGATTCAGGCCCTCATGACAGATCCTCTATACAGAGTATTTCATAAAAATAGGGGCACTCTTAGATGTCACCCCAAGTTTCTACCTAAAATTATTTTAGATTCCATATAAACCAATCTATTCATCTCCTGGTTTTCTTTCTTAAATCTCACTCGATCCCAGGAAAGCTAAGTCTCATACACTTGATGTAGCAAGGGCACGGTCTTTTTACTGAGAACAAAATGATTCAAGAACATGCCCAAACTATTTATGGTCTTTGCTGATTGAATTAAGGGGCAAACTATCCTCACAGAAGTTATCCAAATCAGTCTCCAGCTGTATAAGCCATGTTATGAACCAGCCAGAGTAGATCCATCAGGCTACGTTAGAGCCCATTGCATTAGGGCTCAGGCAGCATCTGCTGCCTGTTTGAGGAATATTCCTGTATCTGAAATATGTTGAGCAGCTACATGGGGTTCGCTGTACACATTTACAAGATGCTATTCTTTAACACAGGCTTCCAGAAATTGGAGGCAGTTTTCTAGGGTTCTCCTGCAGTATTTTTTAAGTAGAATTCCTAGTACCCACCTCCATGCAACCAAACAACTGCTTGTTAGTCACCAAGAGAGGAACCTGTGAGCACAGTCACTCACAGAAAGAATGGTTACTTAGCTTACAGTAACTGTGGTTCTTTGAGTCGTGTTGTCCACACAGATTCCACACCCCATCGTATTTTCCTGCAAATATAGAGTTCTACTCCTATGGCATTGGTGAAGGAACTGAAGGACAGGTGGGTCTACTTTGCCCTGTATATTCTTGGTTGGGGGCACTTAGAGTGCAGGTGTGGCCCTAACAAACACTGTTAGCCAAAAAAACAGTCTTTTGCACATGAGATACATGTGAACCAAGAGTGGAATCATCAACAACACATCTCAAAGAACCACAGCTACTGTAGGGTAAGTAATCATTTATTTTTAAATCAAAATTTTGGTGGAAAGAATTATATAAAACACATACTGTAACTTACCCCTTCTGTCCATAGTTCACCCCCAGTGAGTATGTCAGTATACTTATTTGACTGGAAAATCCAGGCTCTCTCCACCAGAAGTTAGATAGCTAACTTGCTTATGCTTTTCATTCTTGTGAAAGAAACCCAGATGGCATATGGTAATAATTGGTCAATTTCTAACTAAAGGTGACTAATGCACTGAGTCATCCAATCCTCCTGATAAATTTCTGATACAATAGGTCCCATAATCTTGTCTCATGCTGGCATAAGAAAGTGACTCAACATGCCAAATTTTGTGTATTCAGTGCTTTAATGTGCACATTTGTCAGATACCATAGATTTGTTTCAGAAGTTTTCAGTCCAAAATGAAGAGATGATGTACTTTCATACTTCCCAGATGAGTCTTGTTTGTGTTAAAGAAATATGCAGTGTACTTACAGTGCTATCTGAAATGTTTGTCCATTGTATAGCAATGTAATAGTATTAAAATGAATTTTTGGCTTTCCACCAAAAGGAACTTGTTCATATAGATATGTTTCTTTACATAAATGTTGCTATAAAGAATCTCTTTTGCCCACAAAAGACCAGTGCATAATGATTAGTGAATATGCTGAATATGCTTTTAGCAAAATGCAATGCAAATAAAACAACATGCTGGTTTGGTTTTGTTTTGAATACTAAGTCTTATTTTATCCTCAGGTAGCTGAACTGAAGATGGAATTGAAATTAAGGGGATTGCCAGTGTCTGGAACTAAAACAGATCTTATTGAGCGTTTAAAACCCTACCAAGATCTTAATAATAATAATGGTGTCAATACTAATAAAGTGGTTGCAATAACCACTTCTACTGGTGTCATCAGTAACACGGGGGAGGTAACTGTGGCATTCCCTGTTACAACATTAAATAAATCAGTGGGGAGCTTCCCTTCAGAAACATCGTCTGCTGGAACTGGCTTCAAATTAGCACATACTGAAAGCATTAGCTCCCCTTTGCCCATTTCACCATCTCCTTCAGAACAATCAAGTCTGAGCACAGATGACACAAACATGACAGATACTTTCACAGAAATGATGAGCATGATGTCACCATCCCAGTACTTAAGCACTTCACCTCTAAGAGTGACTGTGAATGAAGACAGTCTGAGTCATGCCAGTGGAAGCATTTCAAGCATGGAGCTTGATGCAGCAGAAAAGGACCGCAAGCTTCAAGAAAAAGAGAAGCAGATTGAAGAGCTCAAAAGGAAGCTGGAACAAGAACAGAAACTTGTGGAAGTACTGAAAATGCAACTGGAGGTTGAAAAACGGGGTCAGCAGCAGCAGCAATCCCAGACTCCTGTTAACTCCATAACTACGCTGGATCAGAAACAATTAAATGCTGCTATCAAAAATGAAAATGCTCTCACTGATTGCTCTAGTCCAAGGCAACCAGTATCTGTAACCAGCCATTCTTTAGGACAGCCAGTGTCTACTGGTGGCCAGAACCTAGTTGCTAAAAAGGCTGTTGTTATCAAACAGGAGATACCTTTGGCCAAAGCTGAACCACAGAATGTAATCTCTCAATTCTATGTGAGTTCACAGAGGCAGCCACAAACTGCAGTTGTTGCCCAGCCTCAAGCTTTACTAACTACCCACGGAACAACACAATTGCTACTCCCACTGTCTATCCAAGGACCGAATTCAGCCACTTCAGTGCAGCTACCAGTGGGCAATATACAGCTACAGGTATGAAATGTTTTCTCTATCTTTAATCATTTAAATTACCCATTATGGTTGTCAGCCATGCTGCTCAGTTTTTATATACAGAGTAGAAAAGCGCTGTTTATATTCTTAATAATTGTAAAAATATTGACTTTTTTCATGATTGCGTTAGCCTTGAGTAGAAACTATCAAGAGCCAATTGTTTCAGTTAGCTTCTTTTCCCATACTCAGGCATTTCCTAGATGAGTCCTTTTTGCATTCTAACAAAGATATTTTGAAAAATTTCCTTGACAATTATTCTTCCAAGGATTAAGCCTACTAGCCCAAGAGGCAAGTACCTGCAGTCCTCTATCCCTTTCCACATGCACTTCCTCCTGCCCCCCCGTAAATCAACTCTGACTTTCCACCACCACACAAGTCATCAGTTCTTCCCTCAAACATAAAATCAGTTCTGATGCTCATCCCTCAGATAAAATGAATTTTCACACTCACTTATCTTCCAATTAATCAATTAATTAAATTAATTAATTCTGGCCTCAACAACCACATACCTCCCACTTGCTGGGATCTCCCCTGCCAGTGTAGCTTCGGAAGCCCTATCTCCTTGCTTGGAACCTCTGCTACCTTCCTGGATATGCAAATAGCTCTTCTGCACATGGGCCACTCTGCTCCTTGCTCCCCTAACCTTCAGGTAAAGCAGGAGATCCAGCCCCTTTGCTCCAGCAACCCCACTTTACACAATATAAATCAGTTAGGTGATTCTAGTGCAACTGATCTGCATGACATTCTGTACTACTGAAATGTGAATGGAAACTTTGGAGTCTCCTTGATCTCCTTTCATTCAGATTTTGTAGTAGTGACATCACTTAGTTTTAGTAGGCTACCAAGCTAAGACGGAAAAAACCTGATGAATTAAAAGTATCACCTATCATACCTGCATGCAGTGATGGTGCACTATGTTTAGGAAATAGAGACTGCCCAGATTCTGCTGGGGGAGAATTAGCTTTGGCATAGTAAAGTTCTTAATGTTTTGGGGTTGTTTTTTTGGAGGGAGGGAAGGGATTTACATTACCATACATTTGAGGTTCAAGGAACAGGTGTATAGAAAGGGGTTTCTCAGTTGTGTACAAATATTTTACTATATATTCATGTGCTATTGCTGTTTCATTTGCTGTCTGTCTCAACAAGAATGTGGTGGAGTTTTTCCAGACTGTACAGAAAGTATCCTATTCAGTTTTTCTGATCTATACTGGATCAGAACATATAACTCCAAATGCTGTTGTTTGCAAAATGCGTATTGGGACTTTTCTCCCAAGTCCAACTGTGTGTTTTCCCATCTGCTTCTATTTTACTTTTACATACTCAAATATTGGGCTGTAAATGGAATCTGTGGAATCAGAAAGTGAAACAATATTCAAACCATGTGACTTCTTGACTGATTGTAAATTACCACAACTGAGGATTATTGATTATGCCATAACTATACTGTAAATAGCTAAAAATGTTGAATGTCATTGTGTAAATTTCATTTGTCTTTAGGCTCAGTCACAAGCAGGAATTCAGGCTTCATCACAAGTATCTGTGCCTGTTTCATCTTCTGGTCTAGTTCAGACAGCACCACAGATTCATGGTCCACCATCAAAACAAAATACCGTCACCCAGTATGTGCTCAGTCAGGCCCAACAAATCAGAAAGGTTTGTGACTACTGATGAGATATAAATGTGAAATTATTGTATACTGTAATTTGAGGCATTTCTGTTACCATTTGCTACATGGGTAACCTATGTGCTCTATTAGGACATGTTGTCAGATGCTACCGGTGTGGTGCTCTGCTTTCTTCTATGTTGATATCACTCGGCTGCGTGCGTGTGTTCCCTCTGTGTGCTGCCCCAGCTCTGCGCAGATAGCTGACCCAGCAGACCCGAAGAGAACCCCCAATGAGCACAGAGTCTAGTAAGATGCAAAGTCACGTTGACCAGGTTTATTGCGACCTTGGACACAGTTGCAGTTCCCCGTAGATTACTTAGTCTACCGGGCATACTACGAGAAAGTGCCTCTTGGCAATGGACCAGGCTCAGTGGTGGGACTTTCCACTGCTCCCTCGGCCGGACAAAGACACCACCCCAGGGATACATTCTTATACACAGGTACAAACGAGTTACACATCACTCCTGACGTATTGAGGTGCAACCCCTCTACGCAGCAAGGTACAACCCCTCTACGTAGTAAGGTGCCGCCTCTCACCTTGTACAGATTGGTTCGATCAAAACAACTCTATCCATCATTTTACCCTTTTGCCCCTGTCATTGGGATGGGTCGGCCTGTTCCTTGTTATGTGTGAAATGTACAAGTATTGGAGTGTTCTGATATTTAGTGTTCAGTACTTTTTAGGTATGTATCTTTTTGCAGCATCAGCCCTTTCCTTGCCAGCTTCTGTGAGCAGGGCCTGCCTCTGGCTCACAGCTTAACTTTGCTTTATATTAGCAAAGTCTTGACCATTACTTTAGTTCAGGCCTTAGGCCTCATACCAGGCCTCTGATACCAAGGTTTATATCTCAGGGCCTCCTCTTACTACAGGACATATTATCCTTTCTAAGGCAGACAACCTGGTTTACTGGATACTATACAGTGGACCAGAAAGAATGATTCTGTAGCCCGGTGGTTAGGGTGCCCATCTGGAAAACCTAGGTTCCTGGCCCTGCTCCAATGAATATTTAAGTATTTTATACAAAGTGAAACAGCTTCTACGGGGGAGATTGAGAGAGATCTGTCCCAGAGTACCCTATACTCTGGTGGTTAGGGCACTCACCTTAGAGCCAGGAAACCCTGTTTCAAATCAGTGTGTGGGGATTTGTACCAAAGTCTCCCACATACCCAGTGAGTGCTCTAACCACTGGGCTGTAGAACATAGAAGGGATGAATTTCCTCATATTTTTTGGTGAGAAAGGCACCTAAGCCGGATCTGGCCTAACTCCAGGGGTGGATTCAGGGTTGTGAATGCAGAGTGGAGGGAAGTACCTCCCTGCAGTCCACAATTAGGTGCCCACTTCCCTTTAAGGGCCAAAACTTAGACCACACCCCTTTCCGACATTTTTTGTGCCTACTTTAGGCAGCTTCCTGCTCAGCATGCTGGCTTGTGTGAATCCTGTTCTTTGGTACATAACTTGGGTCTGTAGATTCCACTACACCCCAGGATGCCTACATTTTAGGGATTGCACTGCTGAGTCTAAGTCACCTTTCTGGACCTAGCTGTTAACCGCTCTGTGCACCATATTTTCCCTATGTGAAAAAATGGGGCTGATGGACCTTAAACTTTAATAAGGTAGGTATCATGAAAGAAAACTACTATATTAGTACTAGCTGTTGTATTTCTTTGTTATTAAGCATATGTTATTGTATTGATGGGAAAAAATGTTGTTCCCATTTTTCCATTTATTTCTTTAGATTGTGCTCAAATACCAGCTAACCTACTCAAATAAGGACTTTTTATCTTAAAGGGGTAGACATTACTGTCTTTATGTAGTTTTGATAATCCAGATTTACAAAAGGGCATGTATTTTAGATATGCACTAGGAGTTTATATCATCTTTTTCTAAGAACTAGTTTGAAATTAAATCAGGCCAGAAATTAGTACAATTGTGCTTTATTGGTGGCCAGTAGGTGGAGATGTTGTTATTTTAAATTGTTTCATGCCTCAAACGTGCCAGAAACCATGTTCCTCTCAGTACAACACTGATAGGTCATGTGCTTCCTGGAAAATCAGAGAGGAAAGCAGTTTAGATTTTTTTTAAGTATAATCATCAGCAAAAGCTATTTTCCAGACTCTTCAATCAGACTGAAGCAGAATTATAAATTTCAGGTGAGTGAAGGCTCAATATTGCACAGTGATAGTCTCTCTTCAGGAACAGCAGTGGTGACAGTTGCTCCAGACTCTTCTGCCTGATCCACTGAAAAATACAGACAATTATTGTAGTTATAGAAAAAACACTTTCCCAGGTAGAAGTTAAGCAAACAAATACATAAGTAAGAAAGCATAATTGCTTTTACTTTCCCTAATGATTTTAATGTCATTTAACCATAATTGTGAATATAAAAATTTTTGATAAAATATTAATCCTTTACAGGTTTTCCCATCTAGTACATCAAATACAGTATTTCCCTATCAAAATCCACCTGTTACAACACTACAGCAGCCTTTTATCAATAAGGCATTAAACACTAGCCTTGATGCTGGGAAGAACCAGGTTCCCTCAGTGCAAAATGGACCCAGTAAGGTAAGATTTGCTCACTTCTCCACAAGACTGGTGCTACATTTTTTATTAAGAAAATGTAAGCATGAGGAATTAGTGTTGGGTGTATATGAATATTTTACATAAAGAATACATACAATGTCTAATCTAGCTGTAAAAAATAACTGATAGTGTGTGATTACTTTTAACTAGATAGTTATCTGACTTGAGAACTAGGGTAAATCTAATATTTATATAGCTGATCCCCTTAAGAATAGTTTACTTTACCAATATGGTACACTTGTTTGTTCATTATGTTGTTGTTTCACACAGCCTGACTCACCACCTGAGTCCCAGCCATATATCATACAACACTCTCTATTCAACAATCCAGTAGCCAAGACAAAAGACCCTCCACGTTATGAAGAGGCCATAAAACAGACCCGCAACATGCAGGCATGTCAGCGAGAGGTAGGTTAAATAAGAGAAAATAACTATCAGATAATTTTTTCCCTTTTTACATAGAATTATTAGAATCAGTGTCAATGTGTTGGTCCGAGTGCTAGGATTTTCCTGCATGCACTCCATTGCTTAGACCAGGGTCTCAAACTCAATTTACCTCAGGGCCAGGGCCAGTGCCAGTCCTCAAATCCTCTCAGCAGGCCAATAATGTCACTGAAGATGGTGTTCAGAAAAGAAAACGTTTATATTGTATTTTTTATTTTGAATTTCTTAGCAATAATAAAACTGTCATACAACTTTATACAGTTCTTCGCCTGCCAGAGAGTTTTTAGTGTTTGCCAGACACCTGGCAATGCTTCAGTTCTGTCAGTTTGTTGATGTTTGGCCTCAGTGACTGAGCAGTTGAAACCTTCAGGATTGCAACAAGGTGTGCATCAGATAATTGTGTTCAGTATTTTGACTTGTTAATAGTCATTGTGGAAAAAAGTGATGCTGCCTCCATGGCTGACTCTGCCCAGCGACTAGTGATGGTATCTCTGTCCCTCTCCCCCAGCCAATGGGAGCTGCGGGGTGGAGGAGGAGCATCTGCAGCAGACATTGCCGGCAGCGTGTCTGCCTGCGTCTCTTCTCCACGGGCTGCAGTGGGCAGGTTCTCCGGCTGCAGATGGCCCGGGGGCCAGGACTTTGAGACCCCTGGCTTAGACCTACACTATTGACATTTGGATATATATAGTGATCTTTTACTCCAAGAGCTCTGTTTTTTCATGATTCTGTTAACTGAATTTATCCTTTAGATAAAATTATTTCAGATCTACAAAATATTGGTTGTTTGTTTATTAGCTGTATGGAAATTATTAATATTGTGATATTATCAAATCTGACACCTTGTTACCAATCTAGTAATAATTACCCTTCAAATGACATTGCATGTCTTCAGCTCTTTAAAGAGTTTGTCTGACCCATAATACCTTGAAAATGGCTAAGCTGTATTTGATAAGTGTACGATTTATTATTTTTCCATTGTTTGTATTTGTGTAAAATTTTTCAACAACATTTAAAAGGTACATTAGCAGGACCACTCAAAAAGATCCCCTAATTTTAATGAGTATTGTCAGTACTATTATGAGGCATATTGGAGGGTGAGCCTTAAAGTGTCACCATGACATCATTCAAGACAGTTGCAAGGCAAGATGCTCATTTGCTTTATTTGTATTTCATTGTAATAATTTCTTTAGAACATTATTTTAAAAAAAATGTGTAACCAGTAGCCCACCCACTAGTCTTGGCTGGTGCTTACGTGGTAGAAGAAGCCTCTGTTTAAAAAGCTATTAAATACATCAACATTACTTACATTATTTTTAAAAAAATATTTCTCCTTGCCTTTCAGCATTTTCCTGATTTGCTTTATGCTAATCCCCTCAGTGACAAAACTGTAACACATATGACAACCCCCATCTAATATCATTCAAAGTATTATTTAAAAGCATGGCATTACTCCATCTTTTATTGGTGAGGCTAAAGTCATTTAAAAAAAATCTAGAGCTATAAGCCAAGCTAATGTTAATAGTGTTATTGAGGGAAGCTGGCATCAGTCACATCTTATATTAGGGTCTGCATGACAAGAAATTCTCTCTCTTACAGATTTCAAATGCACACAGTCAGCAGATGGATGATCTCTTTGATATCCTCATTAAGAGTGGAGGTAAGTCAGATTAACACTATGTGTAATGTATAGACAAAACTATTTAAAAAACCGACAGAAATTAGAACAAGAAATTAAGATGCGACGGGAAGAAAGGAGTAAGGAAGAAAACGGGGCCACTACAGCAGAGGGGTCTCCTCTGCTGGAACAAGTGGCTATTTAGGTAGCAACCATGGCATTTATTATTCCTCTTCAATTCTCTAAGAACAGTGTACCTAAATGCAAAGTATTTCAAAGGCCAAAGTTCTACTACCACTGAGGAAAATAATCATTGACCCCTATGCCCCAAGCTGACTGCTGCTGTAGAAGGCTGTCAATTGTTATACATCAGCTTTAGACCGTGACAAAAATATCTTAGTAGAGAGTATACAAGTAGTTCTACATTTTAACTAGACAACTATTTATCAAGGTTTCAGCTCTCATTTTGAGGCAAGTAAAACATTCATTTCAGGGGTATGTGGGAAGTAAACTACTTATGGTTCTGATCCAGTTCAGACTATAGGGGTAATTAAAATCTGCTTTCTGTAGATTTATATAGATTAAATTTTGAAAAAAGTGATTTGTATTTAAAACAAGAATTAAAATATTTTAATCCGATTACAGTATCTAAACTGAATCAGGGTATGATTCTCTGTTATTTCAATAAAGCTCTTCAATGTCCAGCTGTTCATAAAGCAGCCCCAACAGGGAAAGATGAACAATTGATGTCTTACCAAGGTTTTCTAGGGTACTCATCACTATGGTGTCTTGAGTTTACTAGCAGGTTCCAGCTAGTAATAAATATTGAAGGACGATGCTATATCCAGAGTCTTACAAACACATACTTATGTAAATTTAATATATTCCTCATCTGCCATTCTAGAAAATGTTTCCTCCCCATTTCTCTAGAACAGTGTTTCTCAATGACTGGTCCATGGACTGGCGCCAGTCCCTGGTATCAAAAAGGTTGTGAAACACTGCTCTAGAATACTGGCCATTCTGCTCATGCTGCACAGACTTTTTCTGGGCTCTTTCACATACCTCTCATGACTCCATGCAGCCCTAATCTTAGAATGTGAGCCAGCCTGGAGAACCACTTCAGTCACTTGCTGCGTAATTTATTTAAGTGGTAAAAGCTCTTAGTCGCTTCCCCTTTCTAACAGGGTTCAATCATAATCTCCAGGGTCAGTATCCTTCATGTGGTTCTAGTTCTGCCGCTATAGCTCTTGCGTATTACTGACTATCACATCAAGCCAATTATGGTTGCAGAGTTTTTGCATCTGCCACCTGAGAAAAACCTGCACTCTAATTCTCACCATTCATTATGTCTGCTAACAGTAGTATAGCATAGTGTTTGGTAGAATGGAAGAAAAGGAGACACACAAAGGAAAACTTCCAAGATAATCTGGAAAAGACAATATATACAGAATAAAGCGTGTTTCCATTGACATTTTCTATTGTAGTGTACAAAATTAACACATTAAAACCTAACCATCAAAGAAACTATTGGGGGAAATAGGCATAAAATGTGCACGCACACATATATTAGTTAATGGCTAACGTCCTGTCCCATTTAATCAAGTAAATTAAAATGTGACATAATTAATCTTCCAGTCAGCATTTAAACTAAGATTAAAGATCAGAAAGCAACTTTGAACAAAAGAATTTTGCAAACTAGCATTGGCATAAAACATACATAAAATTCATTGTATGCAGATAAATGGTTAATAAACTGAGAAGAAAATCTTCTGATAGCAAGCAATCAATAGTGTAATGTTGAGTGTTGCTTCCATAAGGAATTGATGAGTGCCAAGATAAAAAAAACTGATTGTTCGTTAGTAGCTGGAATTTCAACTATATCCTAAAAATCTACAGTATTTCTGCTAGTCAAAATTAACTGAAGAGTTTTAAGAATAAATAAGAATTGAATTACACAATGCAGGGATTGTATAATCTGAAAGCAAAATAGCTGCCTTTATAGACTAACCACAATATAAGACCTTTGTAATGACCAACTGAGACTATTACACAAAAATTCAAACATCTTAATACAGAACAATCAAGCTTTGTTTAATGTGCACAAATAGTTCTAATGCTCCCCAAAAATCTTCATGATAATGGTTCTATGCTTCTCACTTCCAAATGATAATGTAAAGTTATAGGAAATGGTAAAGAACACATTATTATGCTTACTCAGATATATACAAACATCTGTAGCAGAGGGTGAAGAAATTATGGTTTGATCAGTAAGAGTCATTTGCCAATTCCTGTAAGTTTTGCAAAAAAATTAAGCAAAAATACTGTGGCAGATATTTTCCATCTTCTTATTAAAAAGGAAAGACCCCCATTCCTGGGCTATTGCCCTAACCTAAATGAGCTTTGCACTAAAAACCTTTGCCAGAATAATGTTGGCTAAGGATGTGTTTTAAACATTTTTTATACCAACAGAAGCCCTCTTGCAGATGCAGTTATGCTGGCAAAAAAGTGCTTTTGCTGACATAGATAAGGCCCTACTTGAATTGCGGTTGAGTTGCAGACAAGCAATAACAGACCTTATTATTATGGGCGTCTGGGGCTCCTATTGTCAGCCTTGCACACGGCAGGGCACCTGCTGTCAAAATTGCAGTGGAAGCCTAATATTGCGGAATCCGCAATATCACAAATTAAGCTGGGCCTTAAATATAGCTTATTTTGTTTGGGAAACTAGTATGAACTATACCAGCAAAAGCACATTTTTGCCATTAGAAGCTGTCTCTCTACTAGGAAGGTTTACTAGAACAGCTATACCAGCAAACCTTTTTAGTGAAGACTAGACTCGAGAAAACTGTCTGGATTGGTAGACAAAAAAGCTTTTCATTGTCTTCACTTAAAGTTTTATGCACAAAAACTGTTTGTGAACTCTGTTCCGTTAATAAATGTACAACAGAGGAATGATCTTGCAACTAGTTCCATTGACTTTACTGGGGCTATTTGATTAAGAGCAGCAGGGTTGAAGTTTAGAAAGAGCTACTAAACAAGGCATAAGAAAATATAGGCATACTTAACTTGTAAGGTTAAGTAAATTGTTCCGTTAGCCTCCTCAAGGACTTGTGCAGTTACTGCTTAAGTAGAAATGTCCTTTTAATAAGAACAACACTACGTGAGCTCTTGTTCTAAGGTAATATTTGGTACTAAGTTAGTGAAACAGCTGTATAACTGTGGTAAAATACACTTGGACATAGCACTAGTATTTCAGATCTTCAATTTAGAAAGACCATGGACATCATGTCAGTTCTCCTCAGATGGATATAATATTTCTGACTTGCTGAAATATTACTGAAAAGATGTGGAGATCACTTTAAAAGAGATTGTGTCTCCTTATTAGAATTATTTGCTGTGTTGTTATTGCCATGTTGGTCCCAGGATATTAGACAGATGTAGTGGATTAGGCAGTATCTTTTATTGGACCAACTCCTGAAGAAGTGTTCTGTGTAAGCTCAAAAGCTTGTCTTTTTCATCAACAGAAGTTGATCCAATAAGAGATATTATCTCACCCACCTTGTCTCATTATTAAAATGATAAACAACTTCACATGCTTAGTTTATATTTACAGTTTGTACCTCAAGAAAGTATTTAGTAGTTGAATATTTGAAGATGCCTAATCTTTGTATGCCCTTTATTTTCATGGATTTATTTTAACTTTCTTTTATACAGAGATTTCCCTCCCTATAAAAGAGGAACCATCTCCCATTTCCAAAATGAGACCAGTTACAGCCAATATCACCACAATGCCAGTGAACACAGTGGTATCTCGCCCACCACCACAAGTCCAAATGGCACCGCCTATGTCTTTAGAACCAACAAACAGTTTGTCTCTAAGTTTGGAGAACCAACTTGAAGCTCTCTTGGATGGAACTTTACCTTCAGGTAATGAAATTCCTCAACTAACAAGCAGTCGCGAGGACAGAGAATCATTTTCTCTGATTGAAGATCTTCAGAATGATCTGCTTAATCACTCCAGCATGCTTGATCATGCTCATTCACCCATGGAAACAGCTGACCAACAATTCACTGCTAATAGTTCCTGTTTATCTCTTGACCTTCCTGACACAAATTTAGACAATATGGAGTGGTTAGACATTACCATGCCCAATTCCTCATCGGGGCTTACTCCTCTGAGCTCTACTGCCCCAAGTATGTTTTCCACTGACTTTCTAGATCCACAAGACCTACAGCTGCACTGGGATTAAGCTATAGAGGTGCAGCAGATGCAAATTTGACTTTATCTGTTTACAGTATATGTCCTTTATGACACAATTCTGGTTGCAATTAAGGTAAATTACCACAGAATGATTGGGAAGGAGAAATGCTTGATGCTAATTCTGCATTTATGTTGAAGTATACAAGCAAGTTTCTTTACCCTTCTATCAATAATGCAGATCAGAGCCATCTGGGAATTATACTTCACAGGTCAAGAGAGAATGTTTGTAGTTATTGATGAAAAGTACCACCCAGAAGAAAGCAGGAAAAAAAAGTGTATATAGGAAATAGCATTGAGATATCTTCATAATGCTCAAACGAACTGCAAAACGTGTGGTCATTTGATTAGACTTTAAACAGAAGAAAAATAGTGCAATCAGATTTCAACCTACTGTACCAATAAAGAGTAAACATTGTTTGAGGGAAGGTAAGATATCACTGCACTTGATTGTTCCTGTGGACAGCCTGAGCCAAGATCAAGAGGCATTGTAAGGGCAAAGGCAACTAAAAGCACTGGCTGGTTCAGTGAAATTTCACTTGTCTAGAGTCTTTAAATTTGTTCAAGTTGTATTTGTATTTTATTTTATTTTCTGTGACTTTTAGAAAACTCCTCTTACTCTATTTCAATTTTAAATCCTGAGGGAAGAACTTAACTGCAGCCAAAGGGATATTTTAAATGTAATTGCACACAATCCACTGTAGCAAGGCCAGGTATATTGAGAACACTGAATTTTCTATAGCAACACTTTGGATTTATTAGATATGTGTATATCAGACAGTTATTTGTATACTTTTTACCTTTGTGACTTGTACAGCTTATTTTTGTGGAGGCAGAGTAGCAGTGGTCACCAAACCAATAGACTATAGTATTCTAAGAATATTTAATATCCAAGTTTACTTCCATTGTTTCAGAGACTATTTGCTAGAGACATTTATCTAGCCAAATATCTCAAAGAATCATTTCAGGATATTAAAATGTTTACAGGACAATACAAGAGGAGTTCCATATAATTGTTGTAGGCCCTGATCTTGCAAACATTTATGGACATAAGTAAGACATGCTGACCTCAATTAAAATTTTTGCAGGATCAAGGTCAGAATTCATAGGATGTACTGACAAGATGGGCAACTTTCATCTCTTAAGATAGCAACATACCAACTCCCTAACCCCTGAACATCTTAGGTAAAAGTTGTTCAAGAGCAATGAAAAAGTAGAAAAGCTTCAAGATGTAAAATTCAACACTATTAAGGATTAATCCTGCAAAAAATAGAATAGATGATTGTCGCAAAAAACAGTACTTAGTTGTGGGCATGCTGGATTGGTGGTGATGGGCATGCAGTAACAAATGACAACTCCCTAATTTGCTCCTTGTAGAATTTCTAACTTTTTAGAAACTAACATGAAAATACTTTGAAAAACAAACCAGAATGCAAATATAGGAATGAAATATTCTAGAACTCTATTTTATTTCTCATACAATAACTTTAACAGTATTGCTGTAACTAATACATAAATATTCCCACAAAATTAAGATTAGAAATAAAGTAATTTCTGGATTGAAAATGGGTCTCAGTTCAGAAACAGGTTTCAGAGTAGCAGCCGTGTTTGTCTGTATCCGCAAAAAGAACAGGAGTACTTGTGGCACCTTAGAGACTAACAAATTTATTTGAGCATAAGCTTTCGTGGGCTACAGCCCACTTCATCGGATGCATAGAATGGAACATATAGTAAGGAGATATATATACTATACACATACAGAGAACATGAAAAGGTGGGAGTTGCCCTACTGACTCTAAAGAGGCTAATTAATTAAGATGAGCAATTATCAGCAGGAGGAAAAAAACAACTTTTGTAGTGATAATCAAGATGGCCCATTTCAGATAGTTTGACAAGAAAGTGTGAGGATACTTAACAATTGTTTTTTCAGTTTCAAAAATAACATTTAGCAAGTGTTTAGTGCACAATGTGGTATGAAAGCTTATGCCATTTTGCAGAGGTAAACTGATATCAAAGAAATGCTGGAAACAAACTAAAAGTGGCTGTACAGTAACCATTTTAACTGTACAGTAACCATTTTAATAAGCATACCAAAATGAACTTCTAGATTATAATAGTCCAAATTCTTATAACTTCCTAAATTACCAATCATGAAGTGTAAGCCATTAGTTCTGCTTGGGCAGAGTTCAGTTGACTAAGTATAAACATAGAAATTCAGACTAATGGATTACTTTGCAGACTTGGGGACTAAATTAGCCTCTGTACTTTTTGGGATAGATCAGATCAACATTTTAAAATTAATTTCATATAAAGCTATGTAAATATTTGCAAACACTTCATAGAAGGCCACACTTATGAAGATGCCAATTCATACATATAGTTTGGTTTTAAACATAAACATTCTAAGAAAATGTCTGTGATAGTAACAAAAAGCAAAGAAATTCAAAGTTAAGGGATAGGATGCTATCCTTATTCCTCACTGTTGTGCCTAGATACTGCCAGGAGTAGTTGTGCATACAATACTTGGGTACAATGTTACATATGGACTGTCTGCCTTAAGTTTTAATTGTCTTGGCTTTGGTATTATATACACTGTTACTTATGTGTAGTATTTTGCTTTTAATATTGATGACTAGAGTAGGGTTCTTCAGACAATAAATACCCTGACCTTTACCCATTCCACTTGGCGACACTCTCTTGGGGGCTGATCCTATGAGGTGCTAAGTGCCTCCTCTGAGCTCCTGATTGTTCTCAGATTTTACTGAAACAAAGAGAGTTAAAGGCACTCAGCACCTTGGAGGAATAGATGCTTGGTCTGGTAGCTAGACCTGTGTATGAAATGTATATTGTTCTATGCTACTATGTTAGTATATTATGTATGATATTGTACGAAAAATGTGCAGTGTGAAATGTGACAACAGACCAAAGATGGTAGTAACAAAATGGCCCCTTTTGTCTTTGCCTTCTGTTTAAATGATGAAGGCGATTTTAACTAAAATCAGTTTTCTAGCTGAGGAAAAAAAAATTTTTTTTTGATGTGCATGTAAATATAGCTTCATACTGGCAATATTGTATAGTAGATTGCTATACAAATACCCTTATTGGCAATGTAGAATGTTAACAAACCCATAGGAATCTGTGTGCAGAAAAAAAATCCCATATATCTAAAATGTGCTGATACCAGTACAGAATTGCTTTCTACTTATATTGTCTCAATTCACGTAAAACTAAGGGATTATTATACTGTCCTTGAAATAGAAATGTGATTTTGTATAATTCAGAATTACTTGTATTGTAAAACCTTACACACACACACATAGATATATGTATGTTTGCTTTAGAGTGTATATTGTGAAATGTGCTACAATATTTGCCATATTCATACATACATGGCATTGTGGAAAAATTTTCTTGTGCATGTTTTAAATGATCATTTTTGTAATATAAAAAAGACAAATCTTTAACAATGACTGTACAGACTTGTGACTGCTACCACTACAGTGGTATTTCTCATTGTGAGAACAGTTGCACTCATTGTATGAACAGTTGCACTTGCAAAAGAATGCACTGATACCAAATTCACCAACCTAGCGAAAGTAAACTAACAAAACATGGTTCCTGTGAACTGCGCTGTTAGTGGACAGTAACGTTACAATTAAGGATACCATTTTTATCACTAAATTTACCACAGAAACAGTGTTTCTTCTGCACTTCTAGTGCCCTTCAATATTTAGCGAGGCATATAAGTTTACAAGATACGCTTACATGCCATTTTTCTTGAACACTAAACAGTTAATTATCTCTGTCATAAATGTAAAAGGCTTTTGAAGGGCAGAATTTATGGCAATTGTTCTCTGTGCAACTTTAGGACCCAATTCTGAAACCTGAACTTGCAACAGTGAGGGTTTTCAGAATCAGGTTTTTAAAGAGCTAAGTGCCACAGAATTTAGGAAGAACTTCCTACTCCTATGCTGAAATCTTTTTTTAAACAGTTATTAAAATATAGTTAGTTCACCGAGGTAACCTTAAGGTAGGTAAGCAGGTATATAAAATAAGCAACGTATTGATGTTTTCTATTGGTATTTGCCTATCTGCCAATATACAAAACACATTTGTATGGCTGAAAATTGTAACAGATAGGCAACGTAATTGATAACCCAGCACAAGCTGTCCAACTGCTCTAGAGGTCATAAAAGATGACCCACTGTAATCACAGAATACTTTAACTGGAAGGGCCTTGTAAAGCTGACTAATGCACAATCATTTATTTGGATTGCATCCTAATTTTTTTTTAAACTGGAAAATAAATATTAGAACATAGTGCCACAGAATTCTGAATAAAGAACCCTTAAATGTTGAAACACTTTACTGTTGTAGAACTGTTAAATTTTTAAATCTGTTTTTCTATCACCTTTCTTGTCAATCAAATAAACATAGCTGTAAAGAGACTAAGTGGAATGTGAAAAAAATGTTAATAGGAGATACACTGCAACTAGAGAACATTCATAAGAGGATCATTATCTGAGCTCTCAAATCTAATTAACCTGTATATTTAAGCAACAGTCCCCTTTTACATCAACTTATTAAATGTAAAAGGAAATTGGAAGCAAGCACTGAAGTTCATGCTTCAGTGCAGTTCCACATTAGAAAAGGAGAGACATTGTTACTGCATTCTGCAATGTCTGAGATTGAATGCAAGGAATTTTCTTATCCAGTGTGTAAACGTAGCTTTAGAAATCTTGCAATCATCATGGTAACTGTTTGAGGGCTACATTTCAGCAAAGAATAGTACCAAGTACACCTTTGTACTACAGTATAACAACTGTTATTTTTTTGGTAAGAATACTGCTTAGATAATCAAAAGGAGATACACAGCCTCAAATAAAATAATAGGAACCAAAGCATTGTCATTTATATCGCCAAAGGAGGCATTTTGTATTTTAAAGGAAAAAAGTCAGTCCCAAAAAGTATTATCCACTTACTTAGTTATACTTTTTAAAAATTAAGGATGTAGATATTTCTGAAGTTGTTTTTGATGTTAACAGCACAAATTTGTTGTTTTGTTTGAGAAATTGTATTAAGTAATATCTGGTTTCTTTCTTCATTGTTGCTTGCAGTAGAAATAATGCTTAGCGTGATAGGTGTTTCTCTTCTTATTTTCATAGTCACAATTATGTCTTAGCATCTCACTTTATGAAAAAAGAAGAAAGATACTAATCTGTAGAGCTCTCTTCATTTAAGCACTAGTTTATTAAATAAAAATTATGGCAATCAGGATGTCCATTTATGTATTGCCTTTCTATAAGAAACCATGA